AATCAAAATAGTTTATCCTTCTGTAAATCCAACAAAAAGAAAATTAGTTTTTAACCATAATCCATTTTCTTTTCAAGCCTATTTCTTTTTGGTGTTAGACTATTGCAATGATATACTCAAAAAAATTGAAATTGATCGAAATTTCTTTTAAATATTATCATGGTTGATATTTCAGATAAAATAATTACATAACATTTAGTTGCATTTTAAATGAACTAAAACATCTTAAGCATAAAACATAATTATTTAACAAAACACATAACACTTAGTTGCATTCTAAATGAACTAAAACATCTTAAACATAAAACATAATTATATAACAAAACATGCTTAGATTTCAATTTTGCAAATATTTTAAACATCCGGATTATAAAATGGTTCGAATAGACATCCATGCTTTTGACATTAGTTTTTTTTCATTTATTATGTACCTTACTTATTGACCAAACTTATAACTTATACGTTTTTATAAATTATCTTACCAATTATCATCTATTTAACTTGTGAACCAAAAATCTTGTATACATCACTCACTTTGTATATAATCTATTTTTCTTATACAGACTTTAAATGAAAAACAAAATATCATCCATCATTAATAAAAGATCAAAAATTATTTTTCCTTCAAAGCTTCCAAACTATAAAAAACTTGCAATCCTTTTAAACTCGTAAACGAACACTTACATTTAATTCAAAAGAAACATGTACCCAAACACACAAACAACAAAAATCACACACAAACGGAAAAACAAACTAATATGTATCAAGTATCTACAAAAAAATAACACAGCCAAAACACAAAAAAAAAAAAAAAAAAAAAAAAAAAAAAAAAAAAAAAAAAAAAAAAACAATTCATTTTAATCATTCCAGATCTGAAAAAATATAACATACACTCTTCCGACCAATAATCAAACAATTTGAAGTTTTCAACAACATAGAGCAGAAAAGACCAAACTAATATACAAATACTTCACTATACGATCCTTTCCAAGCTCAAGACAAAGAAAAAATGTGAAAAAAAAAAAAGATAACGGAAGTGGGATTAGGTCATATATAATCAAATCTTGGAAGAAAGCACATCCCTACAATAGATGTGTCATCATGATGGCGATGAAAATGACGAACCGACTTCTTATCTTGAATTTGACCCAGATCTGTTCCAATAAAACATATATCAGTCTTTGGACCAAACCAAATTTGCCTACGTATATCAATGATGGTTTTTAGAAAGAGGCAAAGATAAGGGAATATAATAATACAATGACTACCGGTAATGGTTGATATTTCGGTATTGCTAAAGGATTTTTCACTAATGGGTTTTTAGATCTAGAGTTTTTCGCAGTGGTAAGGAGAATGGTTGTTTAAGGTCAAAGATGGATTTAACGGTTGAGGTGAATGCGGTGGTTGGGATGACGGTGGAGGAGGAATATCATACTGGCGGCTAAACTTTTATAGTGAGAGTTTTTTAAAGAGTAAATTACACGAATGGTTCCTATGGTTTGGGGTAATTTGCACGTTTGGTCCCTAATTTATTTTTTTAACTCGGAAGATCCCTACAGTTTGTTTTTGTTACGTGCTTGGTCCCTACAGTTTGTTTTTGTTACGCACTTGGTCCCTGTCTTACCTAAAACGATTATTATTTAAATAAGAAAAAATAGTGGGGTAGGTAAGGTAATGTGAGTGAGGTGGGGTTGGGGGTGTGTTTACTTAAATAAATTAAAATATCAAGGGAAAATAGTATCTTTAGGTAAGACAGAGACCAAGCGCGTAACAAAAACAAATAGTAGGGACCTTCCGAGTTAAAAAAAATAAGTTCGGGACCAAACACGCAAATTACCCTAAACCATACGGGACCATTCGTGTAATTTACTCTTTTCTAAATCTTTTAGAGAGAATATGTGAATATATTTTCTGGAAAAAAGGTGAGAAGGGTTAAGTATGAAGTTATCAGTGGTATTATTATTCCGAATTTATAATGAGGGTACTTCTTTTTAATTGGTTAAGCCAAATTGACATGGATCACCATTAATAAATCTACACCACTCATTTTGCATTCAAAGGTCATGATCTCATCTCCTTATATTTTAAGACTTTGTCTTAAACAACTATTATGTATGTATTATAAAGTAGTAAAATATATATAGAGAGAGAGCTTATGGAATATGTGGCTGTTATGTATATAATATTAGGTATAGAACCATTAAAAACTATATGGTTTTAACAAAATAAAATCAAATATCTCTACCATCTTTCTTATATTCTCTATTAGACTAGATGATAAGCTTTGTAAATACTTTTATAGGGTTTTAAAATTTTAATTTTGCAACACAAACTATGTATATGAATATATTATCAACTACCAAGAAATCTTAATATTCAAATTTAAAATAGAAAACTATAGTGAAATATTGAACTTATTCATTAAAAGCCTAATAAACTTTTTCTTATAACACATAAAAGAGAACCATGCGAGTATACATATGATTAGTGTTAAAGAAAGTTATGAAGCCTACTAGAGGCCTAATATAAAAACACATTTGAAATACATAGATGTTTGGGATAAATTATAAAATCATAAATAATATGAGCTCAAAAGAAATAGAAAGAAGCTCACTGAAAAAAATGTGTTTATTTAATGAATATGAAGTCAATTTAGATGGTTCTATACCTAATATTACATACATGACAGCCACATATTCACTTTTCCCATATATATATATATATATATATATATATATATATATATATATATATATATATATATATATATATATGAGCTAGGTTCAAATGTTCTAATAACTATTGTGTGTTTGTAAGAACCAATGGGAATTGAGGAAATAATCAAATTATAATAAATAATAGAAGGGTATAAGAGTAATCTACACTATAATTAATTATGGTAAAATAAAAAAAAAATCAATTAATATCCCATTAATTTAGGTTATCAGTTTCACAAATCTATAACACCACCATTGATCCCCTCTCTTTCTTTAAGAATCGTCGAGAACCACCATCATCTTGGGTTCGATGTCTAGAACCACCATTATCGCAATCACCATTTAACCATTCGGTGCGTACTAGATCCAAATCGCAACCGTAAAATCAATTTGTTTAAATCACAGCATAAACATTCAAAGTCGAAGTGAAACAAGCAAGGGAATTAGTTTCTTAGAAACCCAGTTTGTTAAATCGATTTTCAAGGCTTGAAGCTTAAGGTTTTATCATCGTTGAAGGCATGTATTTTAACTATTCTTTTCCATATTTTTTTTCCTAAAAATTTATTACGAAATCATATTTGTTAATATTGATTTCGGCAAAGAAATTTCTATTTTTTGCACACATAGTTTCAGATTTAGAAGTCGTCTATTTTTGTCCGCTAACTGTTTGTTAAAATGTTTGAATCAAATATTTCGTCCATTCAAGTATTTATACGCATTTGAAAATCAGTTAATGTAGTTTTGTTAATATGATCTAATGTTAGTCTAATAAGATCTTTATTTTCTCTATTTTGACTTTGCTTATGATTAGTTATTCCATAAACATGATGATTTAATTTGATTTCTTTGAATTAATTTCATACTTTTTAAGAATATTCAGAACCATTCTGGGAGAATATTTACGGTATCATTCTTGCAGATTAAAGCTAGGACAACTGGATAATGTACAGAAGGTGTTCGATAGAATGCATAAGAGATGTTTCAAGCTAAATTCTCGGTAATTGACTAATTCCATATTTAAAACATAGTTTCTAGTAATCTTATACATGGATTCTGTTATATTCTATGTATTATGTCAAAATATATTCTATTTTTATGTCATATTCTATGTATTATGCCATATTTTGTGAGAATGTATTCTGTAATATAACATGTATTTTGTATAATTACTAGTAACATATATTTTATGTAATATTTATTCTCATAGAATGAACAGGCCCTAGATTTCATATAAGAAACTCAGTACAGAATAAAATGTTTGATAAATCATTTAAATTGACTATTCCCACTCAATCATTTTCGTTTCATAGTTGTTTAGGAAATCGAATGGATGAATGTTTGAGTGTGTATACAAAATAGTTGATTATTTGACATTAAAAAGTAAATGAGTGATTGCATATAATTTTATAGTTTTATTCTGATCAAATTTGTATACAAAGGTTCAATATCTATCACATTTTATCAAAATGGTTGTATTGTGTACTTAAGAAAAATTTCACTTCCTTATTGTTTATCATATTCTATCAGAATTTATAGTTTATTCTTTTATAATGTACATAATTTAGAATGCTCATGGTGAATGTATAGAATGTTACTCTTACATATTCGATTTCATGGCAGTTGTTCTCATAGAATATTTGATTTTAAGTAAGTCATCTCAAAGAATACATGAAAGGAACATGATGATGGCATGTGGGATGAAAATGAGCAATGGTCAATGATCTTTATAAAAGAAAACACTGGCAGAATAATTTACAATATAATGATAAGATTATATCTTATAATATATTCTGATAGAATATTCGGTTAAAATAATCTGCAAATTGTGTTTGTTTTGTTATTAATAAGTGTTTCATTATGATAGAATAGTATATTAAGATTTTCATTTATTAAGAACGTGATGACAAAAATTTAACTTATATCATAAAATTGTTAATCTTAGAAAGTTCATCCAATCAAAAAATGTTGTTATTTCGTTTGAAGAATGATATTGATCTGATATCATCGTTGAATATAGCATTCTAACAAAATATCATTCTGACAGAAAAAAAATCAGTTATTATAGAAAATACGCTAGAATTAATATTGAATTACTTTTAAAAAATCAAATTTTAAAAAGTAAGAAGCGTTGGCGGATGGTCTTATGTTATGAAAGATTTTTAAGAATTTATTTATTTTTTTCTTTATAAAAATCTACAATTCATATAATTTATTTGTTATATTCGGTTTATAAAACGGAGATATATTACTAATAAAACAAAATGACTTGAACCAAATTAAATCTTAGCCTTTAATCCGTTTATGATCATGATTAAAAGCAACAAGACAAAGCGCATTTTTCTTGTGGAGAGCGAGCCCAGGAGTTGTCATGGTGTCTACATCCTCTCCCTTCATCCCATCTGGTAATTTCCAGTCAAAAGCGTAAAGGAGATTCGAAAGGATCAATTCCATGGTGGTAGCTCCGATTGACATTCCCGGGCATCCTCTTCGACCCGAACCAAATGGGATAAACTCATACTCCGTCCCTTTATAATCATAGCTACTACCCAAAAACCTCTCGGTCTCAAGCTCTTCTGGTTTTTCCAATATTCCGGATCTCTCCCAATGGCCCATGAATTCACATAAACCAGAGTCTTCTTAGGAATCTCGTATCCGTTTAAAACACATATATCACTTGTTTCTCGCGGGACAAAGAGCTGTGTAGTCGGGTATAATCTAAGTGACTCTTTTATTACCGTCTTTAAGTAGTCGAGTTTTGGTAAGTCATCTTCATCGATCTTTCCTTTGTTTCCTACTGCATTTCTGACCTCTTCTTGAACCCTTTTTAAAGCTTTCGGGTTCTTAATGAGTAAAGTCATCGCCCATACAACTACAGATGCACTCGTTTCCGTACCTGCCAAGAATATATCCTAGAAAAATGAGTGATGAAGTGCCCACCAGAAATTAGGCTATCATCACGAAGCCCCTTGGCCCGTCGCCCCATATATGTAGCTAAAGCAATTGTGTAACACCCGCAAATCCGAGCTAGTCAAATCAGAGGCAATAGGGATCATAAACGACTTTTCAACAAAAGATTATTTAGAATAAATAATCTTGACCAAGTTTTAGTATATGTCACGAGGTTTCCGTACATATAAAGAACGCCGAAATCCGAGTTATAACGAAGAAGTTATGACCCGTCGAAGTTTCGCGACAGAACCGGCACGATACCGGAAAGCGTAAATAGTGAATTTACGATAGAGCGAGATTTAGCCTTAGCGATCTAAACGGAAGCCGTAGAATATGTTAAACTAAGAACATCGATAAAAAGAACGCCCAAATCTGACTTCGTATGAAGAAGTTATGATTTTTCGAAGTTTCGGACTAGCAGTGTACAGCCCGAAATTCGAATATTTGATCGAGCGGTTTTTAGCCGACACGACCTAAATAAGAATCGAAGATCTCGTTGAGAGTAGCGTAACGAGAAAATGATGGGCGAAAACAGATGTCGGATGAAGAAGTTATGAGGATTTAAACGGACCAATCCTGTCCCAACCCGTTAATAATATAAAATTTAAAATCGAGCCAAAATTAGCTGACGGATTCTAAACGAAAGTTGTATAGTACGTTCCCACCTTCGCGTGGATATAAAGAACGTCGAAAACGGAGCTCGTACGCGAAAGTTACGAATTTTTAAAGTTGGAAAGTGAAATTGCGAAATTTGATGCTAGAACGATGACGTGGCAAGATCCTGACCGTCGCTTGCTGATCACGGCTCGCTTCGGATGGCTGACACGTCGCCTCTCGGACGCCCAGCGTTCTCCTTACGCGCCGCGTGCGAGGACGGAACGCCTCGCGTACTTCAGCCTCCTGCGGTCCAGCTTGAGCCACGTCGCGCCCTTCGGAGGATGCCACCTGCTGATCTTATCCGAGCCATTACGCCCCGCATAGGTCCGAGGTACGCCCAACGTACCGAGGCCTCGCAGGACTATAAAAGGAGGCCGATGGTTCATCATTTTTCACACCTTTTTCACTTCTCTCTCTAACTTCTTTCTCTCTCTAAGTGCTATAAACCACCCCTAAGCCCTAGTTAAACCCCTAGCACCCTAAGGAAGCCCCGAGGCTCCCGGAGTCCCGAGAAAAAGGAGTTTTTCGGTTTCGAAACGCTGCTCCAATTAAGTTCCGGTTTTCGATAAAATTCGCTGTAAGTGTGCTACGCTTACGCAATTTTTAATATAGCTTTCAAATAATTATAGGAATGTTATTAGGTCCTTAAAATAATTATTTGGGCTATTATTATGAGTTATATTGAGCATTATTAACGCTTAATAATAGTCAAACTGATTAATGTGTCGCGGTTATCGTTAAACTAAACCCTAGTGGTATCGGTACTAGGTTTTATCGAAGGAATATCGTTTTGAGAGTATCGAAGCGCTGTCCGAGTGCTGAGTCACCACCTACTCAGGTGAGTGCATAGTTACTTTCAGCTTACACATAGATATGAAGTATTTTATATAAATTACGTGTTGTGTGTGTATATTATCTGTATACTTGCTATCTATGCTGGATGAACGTTTTATACATGTTTTCAATGATTTAAACTGTATATGTATTTTATATCTACAAAATGTGTTGGGTAAAACATGGGTAGATGTATTAGTTGCTGTGTGATAAAATGAAATAATGAGATGCCTCGTTATAGATGTTCTTGATGATCTAGTCATCTAGCGGAGTATAGATGACGACCACGGACTATTCTAGACAGTCCAGTGGAACACTAACAGGCTCGCAACCTGTAGGTGTTTATTCGAACTATGTGTTTAACCGAACTGTGTGTTTATTCGAACTGTGTGTTTATTCGAACTGTGTGAACTGTGTGCTCACCAGATATACTCCATCCCAATGATAGTCCTTTGACTAGGTCCCTTGTGTTAGATGTTTTAGGGATGTAATGTGAGGATAACGGGAATGGGTAATTGGGTTGATTGTTTGATGTTTAAAAATAATAATTATATTATTGTGGATTGAAATCCCTATGTACTCACCAAGTTTCCCAACCTGACCCACTCAGTTTATTTATATCATAAGTGTTGATATGAAGTCACAATACACTGAGAGATTTAAAGAGATGTAGATCACTAGTGTAAATAATTGTAACTTCTGTTTATGCTTATGTTTCTGTATTAACGATGACATCCCAAACGTTTTAAAATTAAATAAATATGTTTCTTCGAAAATGTTTTAATAACGTATTTACCATGTTTTTCTGGGAACAAATTCCGCAACATTTTTATAAAATGAAGTACTCTGATTTTTATAAAGCATAAACAAAATCGGTCTTTTCTGGCCGTGATTTTAGGGATGTCACAAATTGGGAGGTTGAGGTATCTCCCTGGTGTAACAAGCGTCCATAGGTAAAACAAGTTAGAAGAAGGCACCCTCTCACTATTCTTGTGATGTGTGAGAGAGTTAGAGATCAAGCGATGCAATAATCTATAAGTGGTGGAACGAATCATTTTCCCTCGGGCAGTTAATGGTATATACACCCCACTAGTAATCTCAACCCAAAATACATTCTCGTTGTAATCAACAGACTGTCCTATAACACAATCAATAAGAAATATCAGGAATTGGACACTCTTCTTCTCGTCAAAAGTGTAAACTCCCACTCTAACAGCAAGCTTAATAGCACTACACTCCTTGCTAACTCTACCAAGTCGAAAGGAAACAATTATCCTGTCATCAGGGATCTTCCTAAGATCAAAGGAAACTATAGCATAAAACTCCAACAAAATTTCCCAATAGTCAGGTTCTTGTATCTTGAACAATCTTTCCCAACCACAACATACAAACAAAGGTACACCACCTGCGTCCAAGTGGGTGTATGACAAAAAAATCGGATTGGTTCATCAAGTCTAGTTTAGGATGCCAATCCCAATCGAATGATGGTTTGATGTATATTTCCTTATTAGCAACAAACTAAGCTTGCTTTGATATTTTTCACGTGTTCCTTCATTTAAAGCTTGTGGGGATTACAAATATCGGTAATCGGTAATTTCCTCTAGAGGTTGATTTTGATTTCTTCTTTGAGCTCTCCTAACCATAACCTACAAAAAATTAAGCACAAACACCCACTCCAAAACAAATAACATATTAAGAGAAAAAAAATGAGATCTAGGCAGAGCCTCGTATGCTAGGTGTACGCTTACATGGCGTAATATGTGCTTCTTGTAGTCGACATCTAGGCCAAAATAAAGCAAAATGGAAGGATCTAAAGATCTTATTCGGTCTGATTAAGCACAATCAAGCACCAATTTCATTAAAAATCGAACACACATCAATAATGGTTTAAAACCTAGATTTCTAATTCCGCACAATGCAACAAAATGCTTGAAATTAAACAACAATTTAAGTAAAAGGGTTAATGAAAATCATACCTTAGTGTCGAATTTAACAAAAGAAGAAGAAATTCAGATGTTTTTGTGAAGAATAGTCGATACAGTCGAGAGAGTTCGAAAAATATGTGAAATTGAAAAAAGATCAGATAAGAAAAGTAAAACATGTGAAGGTGGTATGTTGGGCGTATGGTTCATTTATGCAGAGCGTACTCGTTTAAGCCCAAATTCAAAATCGGGACTTCTTCACCGTATACAAGGCATACTAAACATTGCGATGTGCGTAATTTCGTGTTTTTTTCGTCATTTTTTTATTCGAACACCATTAGACATTTTCATATAATTTAATTATGCTCAAAAGAGTAGCAGGACCCTCCGACAAGTGACACGTTATAAGAGAAATTAAAAATAAAATAAAACTAAAAACAAATAACGAATGAAAAATAATAAAAAAAACAATTTAATTGAAAACCATTCCCAGAAACGACACTAAAAACTTGATTTGTGTTTTTATGTATATATTTTAATTGCCCAAGTTTTAAATTTATAAAACTAATTTTATCACAACCGTACTAATAAACATACTAGGCAGTGTACCTAATCGTACAATAATATAGTTGTAGTAAGACCAAGTATTGAACACAAAGGGAATGGTGATAAATTAATTTGGAGTTTTTGATTATATGTTACACTAAACACACAAAACGGTAAATAAGGGTTTTATGGGATTCAATCTCAAATAAACTGCTAAAGAGGAAATCTTGATAAATTGACTGAACACAAATCTCTTTAGGTACTTTGGTTTAAAGTGGATTCCATCTCAAAATACTAACTAACTACTAAGTACAATTGATATTTATTCATTATTGACCGATTCCTAATATGACTAACACCATGATCAAACTATTAATCCTTTGATTTTAAGACCACTATTAATTTAGTGATCAAGTGCACAAACAATCATGCAAATTAGTGTTCAGTTTGTATTAAGCAAGGTTTGATCTTTATTAATCCCAATGATCATAGGAATTAAATCATGCATAGAATGATCATCTACTCATGCACACACATTAAAGTTCATCACTTTATTTCCTAACCCTAGGTTTTGATCAAAGTTTGGTTATAATTACCAATGATAATGGAAAACTATTATTCAAAATTAACAAAGTTAGAATGATCATCTAAACACTATTAATTCAACAATAAGAAATAAGGAAACATTCTTTAACACATATGGAT